TTGGCAAAATATGATTTATCCAAAAAATAAAATAAAATAAAAATTAAGAAGCCGCCAGTGTTTTTCCATCTCGTTTACGCTCTAAATGGACATGGTCATGGTGAAACGACAAACTCAAATTTTATCGCTCGTTAACAAAACGCTGAGCTGAGTAAACCACATGAAATGAAAAATCGTATCCAGAGACCCCGTCACACTGCCCAGCTGTCAACACAACGCACAAACACAGAGCGGTGGATTGTTGGACTGGTTATGGTTTTCACTCCTGGCAGTCGCAGCAGACAACAGGGAAGGGGAAGGCAGCAAGATGGTGGCAGCATATGGCGACTATGATGAGCCAGAACAGAGTTACAGACAACATGCTGCATACCTACCATGAGTACAGATCCACAAACTGATCAGTCCAACGCTACAACATGAACATCTGCTGCATGTTAGGTTTACAAAGAGAGTCTAATGAAGAGCAGTTTTTAACAAGTAAAGCTTCAAATAAAAAAAATTAAAAAAACAGCAGGTGGTGCTTGTTTATTAGAAGAGATGAACTACGTGACATAGATAAAAGGAGGCAGGAGACATGATGAACAGGAGAGGCGATTAAAGGAAGAGCATGGATCAGAAGAAGAGGAGCAAAGAGCGGAGGCTTTAGGAGAAACTACTCTCTTTTCTTTCTTAGAGTTAAAACCTGTCCTCAAACCTCCTCACCTGTGCTTAAGGTAGAGCACCTCAGGTCAAGTTTATCCTGCAGGCGAGTATTTAAGCAGGGATGAACTGAACTGTGAAACAAGAGCCGGCTGATACTCCACCACGGTTCAGAGGGGCTTCGAGGAGCAAACGACCCAGGAGACGTAAAACTACAGGGAGACCAACGCTAACTCTTGTCCTCAGCTCCTGTGCAATGCAACAAAATCTGCTGTAGATTTACCAGCTGCAAGCTCAAAGGCCTCCAGTACAGTCAGGTCATGGTTAGCAGCTGGACGGATTCCCTACATCACTGGCGGCATCTTGGTGTGTTTTCATACCTGATAGTCTGATAGACTCGGTTGGATTGGGGATCAAAATTGCGACATTTGCTACATTTTCAGCTGATGAGGTTCGCTTCCACAAACAATCCAAACTAACTGAAAAGGTTGTTCCCCTCCTCACCTGTGGTGGCGCTGCACCAAGAACCACTGAAGTTCAACTTCCTTCTTCACAAAATGTAAACAAAACTGGAGTGGCGTCAGATTTTAACAGTTGTACGATTTCTCTTCTCTCTTCTCTGGTAAAGGACCATTTCTCCCAGTAATGCCAGACTCTTGAATTTTGTTTGGTCGCATTTGCCCTTTAGTTCACTTCCTGCTTTTGGAGGGGACTCCAGTCACTTCATTTAACCGAAACGAGACCTAGGCTTTTAAGCAGAGTTCACTTTTTTGAGAGTTCGATTGCGTGTTCCCACCTCACCAAACGAACCGGACTTTCCAGACAAACAAACTGGAGTTTGATTAGAACTAAACAGGGTTGGTGTGAATGCACCCTAAAGGTCGGGTTGAATGACTGGTGTAAAGTAAAAACCAGAGGCACAAGCTCTGCCTCAAACAGAGACAGCGTACATCTGCAACAATGCTCTCCACATGTTTGTGTTTTACTTGTTCACAGCCAGCTGTCGTGACATTTTTCTGGGCGGGGGGTCACCCTCTGTTCCAGCAACACCTGCTTACCTCTCAGCAGCAGAACAAAAGGTTCAGGGCAGGTTGAAGGGATGGGGAGTGTCAGCTTGTTCATGGCAACGCCGTAAGCTACCGCCAGGGCGTCTATCTCCCGGTAAGGAACTTCTCCGGTCAGCAGCTCCCACAGCAGCACGCCGAAACTGCAAAACAAGGCGCAGAGGGAGGGAGAGAGAGAGAGAGAAGCGGTCAGTGACGGTTTTAACGTAAGTACGACACCTTGCATGACTTTTCATATCTCCTGAACTTTGAGTTTATTTTATTGGTATTTGATGGGAGTTTTGAACACAAAGTGGTTCATGAAGTGGAAGGATGCAATTTGCGGTTTTCCAAACTGAATACTCCTGTAAACATGGCGGATGGACGGACGGACGGACGGACACCATTACCTCCACACGTCGCTGCTCTTGGAGAACAGAGAATGCTTGATGACCTCCGGCGCCATCCAGGCGTAAGTCCCCGCTGCACTCATCTTGGTGGTCTGGTGCCACTCTCTGGCCAGACCAAAGTCTGTGATCTTCAGGGTTTTGCCGCTCAGGTCGTCCCACTCCACCGGCTGCAGGATGAGGACTGAGGAAGAGCAAACAGATTAAATCAGCCGTTTGGTTTCAGTAGTTAATGCCACAAAAAATTTTTCTCTGCTGCTTTAAAGAAGTGTAAAAAAATAAGAAGATGATACTTGGACAATGAATACAATAACTTTAAAAGTTATGTGTGCTACGTGTTTATCTGTGCATCTCTACAAATGCCTGAAAACATGATGTTCTGCAAGGGGACGGGTTCTGTGTCCCAGAGATGGACATAGTTTGTTGCAAAATGATAGTACAGACCTCAGGACAAAATGATTGTGATCAGAGGCTCAATCTCAAGGCGTTAAATTAAGAAGTCAAATGTCTTAAAAGTCACATTTGATATACACAACATTTTTATAACAACTTGATTATGCTATAAAATGGCATCATGTTCCTTAAAAATACATAATACTGCCCCCTTA